TTTCATATTGTGATGGAATTATGATTTTTTAATCATTATTATCACATCTACATATTATATATCTAAGTTATTCTTATATTAATTTTGTAATTCTCACGGAGCAAAATTAATATATAATAACTGATGAATAGAATATTAGAGTGAAAGTAATTTTTAATAAGATTATTATTTTAAATCTGTAATCTTGCTTTCCTCAGTTTTAATTCTCACGGAGGAATTGTTGAATGCAAGATTATTGATTTTCTAGTAAAAATATTCTCACGAAGATTTTACTACACTTGAGCACAAAATATTAGAGTTAAAATAATTTTTAGTAACATTATTGTTTCAAGCTTGTAATCTTGCTTTCCTCAGTTTTAATTCTCACGGAGAAATTGTTGAAGGCAAGATTATTGATTTTCTAGTAAAAATATTCTCACGAAGTTTTTATTACGCTTGAGCACAATTCAGGCAAGATATTTCAGTTTAATCGTCACTAGTTTTAAATCAAATGATTGACATAACCTCGCGGAGTGTTAATTATTTATTTATTTCTTAGTGTAAAAATATAATTGTATTAGCAATAAGCAATTATTCTTTAGAGAAATACGTACGAACCTGAGATTTTATTGTAATGATATATCAAGTCAATTCAACGATTCCCAACTCTTTTTAAATATAAACTTTTCAGAAGAAATTTGTCTTAATTTATAATTTCAAACACACCTCTCATCAATTTGGTTCTCTCAAATAGTAGTCAAAATATTACAAGTCTGTAGCTTAGATTGTCCAATCTCTGTGGGACGATATCATAAACTATACTAGAATTTGACAGAGTACGAGCAGAAAATCCTATACACATAAGCTTCGTCAAAAGTGCTCTACCAACAAGGGTTAAGGTGGAGTGGTACTCCTTCATTCTTATCCAGAGGTCTCGGATTCGAGCCTCTGGGTATGAGTCGTTTTTGTTAGGGAGAGTTTTTACTCCAAATGTGGAACTTCCCAGCGCGAATCCGGATTTAATAGGACCCCAATATTGATATCGAACACTGAGTAAAAAATCAAAAAATAAGAAAAAGTAAAAGTGCTCTGATATGATAATAACTATTGCTGCATTAATGCTTTCCATCGGGAATTCAATCTTCTACAATCCAAAGGACAAGCAAGACCATGATGCAAATGCACATAAATTTCACATATTACTCTGCTTAAGAGCGGGCCAGTTCAAAGGGAAGCTAGTAAAGCGTTTAATTTGCTTTCAAGTCACTAAAATTTTGAGGCTCAAGATTTTTTAATAATGAATTTTATGATTTTATTTTTTACTTAGACAACATTAAGAAAGGAAAGAATTGTAAGAACTTATGATTAAAAAAAAAACAAAGAAAGTAAGAACAATCTACTTTTTAACAATAAAAATATTTTTTAAATTTGAACTAAACTATCCAAATCTTTATATTAGTACATAAATTTTTTTACTACAAAATCCAGGCAATGTATTGTAAAACATGTATAACATCTTGTTAACTTGCATTGACTTTTACGAATACAAATAGTATTACTTCTAAATGAAGTTAAATATTTTATGTCTCAAGAGTACTACCCTATAAACAACAATTATGATATAAAAAAGAAGAAGATCACACTAACTTTTTGCACATGTGGTATATATAAAAAAAATTATTAAATAAATTTAAAGTCTCTTATTAAAATTTGGCTTTAGAAACACTAATTTTATTGAACTTGTCCTTGGTTAAGAGTTTATAATTAGTGAAAGAGTGGAAGCAAATAAACTGTAACGACCCGACTGGTCGTTTTGCATTTTCGAACCCCGTTCCCTTAAATAATTCCGCACTTGCTTTAGCTAATTTATGACTTGCGGGGACGGGTGGTTCGGAAGTTAGAAGAGTTTTGAGCAAGAATAAGCCTAGTTGCTTCTTTAAGTTTCTTTAAAAAGGCCAAGTTTGACTTCGTTCAACATTTTGGGGAAACGGACCCGGAATCGTGATTTGACAATTTTTGAGGGCCCGTGGGGAAATATGGGACCTGGGCGTATGCCCGGAATCGAATTCCGAGGTCCCTAGCCCGAGTAATGAATTTTTATATGAAATTGTTAAGTTTAAGTTTCTAAGATTTAAATAAACCAAGAAATTATTGTTTTCCTAGGTATCGGGTTCGAATTTCGATTCCGAAACTTGGTACAAGTCCGAAATATCAGTTAAGACTCACCTGTAAAATTTGGTGTCAATCCGAGTGGTTTAAGGGCGTTTTGACCCGTTAGGAGGAAATTTAGAACTTTAAGGTTCAATGATTTGAATCATTTGGTTTTGGGGTTGATTCCCTGATTTAGCGTTGTTTTAAGCGTTTCGAGGACTCGAGTAGGTCCGCCTCGTGATTTCAGACTTGTCGGTATGTTCGGGCGGGGCTCGGGAGCCCCGAGCGTCAAATGGTCGAGGTTCGAGTGAAGTTGAAAACTCAGGAAAAACCTTATCTGCTGCTTCTGTCATAACCGCTTCTGCGGCTCTTGGACCGCAGAAGCGAGAACGCAGAAGCGGTCATTTTATCGCAGAAGCGGAAGGGGCCAGGCCTAGGGAAAATCGCAGGAGCGGACCCCTGACTGCAGAAGCGGTCCATCTGCCCAGGCCCAGAACCGCAGAAGCGGTGGGCTTTCCGCTTATGCGGCCTCACAGAAGCGAGGTTATGACCGCAGAACCGGCCCAGACCCCCTTGCCCATTTCCGCAAAAGCAGCTATGTCTGCAGAAGCGGAACCCGCAGAAGCGGGATTCCTTCCGCAGAAGCGAAAATCACTGGGGGCAGAAGGGTTCATTAATACGAACCCAAACTCATTTCTTCCACATTACTCTCAACACTTAGGCAATTTTGGTGATTCCAAAGAGGAGGTTTCAACATAACATTGCAAGGTAAGTAATCCCCACTCATTTTGAGTTTAAATACATAAACATTAGGTAGATTTAACACTAAAAATTAGGTAAAATCAAGGGATTTGAGCTAGACCTAGGGTTTAATGAAAACTAAGGTTTTATCACATAATTTGCCATGTAGTGAACTAGAAATCATATATTTGTGATCCTTAGATGATAGAGAACAACTTCCTTCGAAAAATCTCGGAATCCGGGCACGTGGGCCCGGGGTTGAAATTTAGGAAACTTGTGTTAATTGTTAGGAAATTGCTCAAATAGCTAGAATTCAACCTTGTAAGCCTTTATTTACTAGTTCTTACTTCGTTCGATTAGTTTGGGATTGTCCAGCTTCGAATTAAGGACTTGGGCTCGTTCTTGGACATTGGGAGTGCACTTTGGAGCGAGGTGAGTCTCCTTTCTAACCTTGTAAGAGAAATTGTCCCCATAGAATTTTAAATGAGTAATTGTTGCTAAATGCGGGGGCTACGTACGTACTAGGTGACGAGAGTCCGTGCGTAGCTACTATATGATAATTGTTCGGGTAGTTTAGGACCTACGTCATGTCTAATTGGGGAATATCTCTTATTTTAAATTGCCAATATGATCATTTTGATTTGCTAGAGACTTGAGGAAATGAAAGGTGAACGTATGAGTTAGTTGAGCCTTGGTAGGAATTCCCTTGTATGTAATTGAGCCTTATGTGCTTTTCTTGATATTTTCTTGATGATTATGGATCGGGCCGCTCGCCTAGGTGATAATAGATGCATCTATTGTTCGTGCCGCTCGACCCTCGGCAGTGCACAATTTATTTCTGTTGGAGCGGGCCGTCGACCTCGGCATGTTTGTGCATGATTTATATGCTTACATTTAGTTATGACATGATCACTCATTTGATGTGAAAAAGGGAAAACTGGTAATTTAATTATGACAAGAACATGAATATGACTCTTCTATTAAACGTGTGTTATTGGAGATCCTTCATGCTGCATATCTCACTTTATTATATTATATTATCTTGACCTTAGTAAGTATCAAGTCGACCTCTCGTCTCTACTTCTTCGAAATTAGACGGGTATACTTACTGAGTACATGTGGTTTATGTACTCATGCTCACTTCTTGTACTTAATTGTACAGGATTTGAGGCAGGTGGATCTGGACCATCATCCTGGTGCGCATCAGTGAGCACGCTTGGGACTTCTACGGTGAGCTTACCTTCTCTCTCATGCCGATCCGCAGCCGAAGGAGTCCATTTCTTGTATTTTTTTATTTCTGTCTATCCTGATTCAGACAGTAGGATAGTGTTTCATTCTTTTGTGTATATTTATTGGTCGCCCGTAGCTTGTGACACCAGGTCTGGCACACACTGTAGTAACTTCATTTTGGGGGTTGTATCGCTATTTTAGCACTTTATGATCTTTACTTAGTCTTATCTTTAAATTTGAAAATTCTAGTATCACTGTCTTTGGCTAAAGTAAAATGAGAACTTAATCACACTTCCGCATTCGGCTGGCCTGACCATGGTGTTAGGCGCCATCATGACCTATTACGAAAAAAATGGGTCGTGACAACATGGTATCAGAGCCAGGTTCACGTAGGTCTTACAAGTTAGGGGCAAACCTAAATTAGAGTCTTGTTAGATCGTACGGAGACGTCTTATTTTATCTTCGAGGGGGCTATAGGTTGTTAGGAAAGACTACTCTTTATTCATTCTCCATCGTGCAGTGGTCAGTGTACTAAGTTTCCTCTTCTATTCTCTCACAGATGGTGAGGACTCGTACCGCCGACATTCCGGCCCGGAGGAGCTGCTCCCCCTGTTGCTAGAGGCCGAGGTAGAGGCCGGGGGAGGGCACCGGCCCGTGGTAGGGACGAGGGCGTCCTAGAGCTACTCAAATTGCACCACCAGCAGACCTCTGCGAGGGCATCCCATATTGAGGAGCAGGGCGAGGCGCCCGCAGCTGTGCCTATCTTGGTGATTTTATGACTGCGCCGGGATTTCAGAGAGGCATGGGCCGTATGCTTCGGTTTCATAGACACTTATGACTCAGGCTGGTTTATTTCCAAAGATCCAGCTACCTCACAGGCAGGAGGGGAGCACAGACCCCTACCGCACAGGCTCCAGATCATGCAAGCACAGTTTATTCATACTCCGGGTGCACTTACCCGCAGAGGGGGTCCAGCTAATTGCTGCAGCGACACCCCAGCCTAGGCCAGCTGTGGACGGCGATCTGCAGAAGTTATAGACAGATGGACCAGGTTTGCACCTCCAGTCTTCGGGGGCGAGCGTCATGAGGATGCCCAGGATTTCATTGACAGGTGCAGGATAGACTACACAACATGAGGATCTTGGAGGTCACATGGAGTCGACTTCACTACTTTTCAGCTGCGAGGGCAGGGCCCGTAGATGGTGGCAGTCTTACTTGCTTAGCAGGCCGGCAGTGCCTCCCCTCACTTGGGTCAGTGCACTCAGTTGTTCCTCGATCTGGTTACATTCCACCCTCTGAGAGGGAGAGCTACGTGATCAGTTTGAGTTATCTGGAGCAGGGTCATATGTCAGTGCACCGGCTATGAGGCGAGGTTCTCTGAGTTGTCTCGCCATGCACTCATGATACTTCCCACAGAGGCAGAGAGAGTACGGAGTTTGTTGCGGGGTTACATCCCACTATTCGGTCGGGTATGGCTTGTGAGGTAGAGATGGGCACTGGATATCAGCTAGTACTTGAGATTGCCCGCCGAATTGAGGGTACCGTTTGGGGTAGATAGAGTTGCAGCAGAAGCAGGACAAGAGGGCCAGATCTCAAAGAGTTCAGAGGTGCCCCAGCAGGGGCTGAGGTCAATTTCGGGAGGGGTCAGCCCCAGAAGGCCCCCAGCTCCAGCACCACCACCGGCTCGAGGTGCTCCAGCGCGCTCCTATTTCAGCGCCATGCCAGAGAGTTCTTATCGCCCGCTAGCTATTCAGGGTTCATCCAGTGGGTATTCAGGTCCTCCGGAGTCTTCCGGTCCTTATTTCAGTGCTATGCCGGAGAGTTCTTACCGCCCGCCGGCTACTCAGGCTTCTTCTAGTGGGCCTTCTAGTATTCAGGGTCAGCCATCCGGACAGCAGGCCGCCGCACCACGTTGTTTTGAGTGCGGGGACGCAGGCCACATGAGGAGATACTACCCCAGGCTTAGGGGCAAGGCAGTACAGCAGGGGCAGCAGCCCATGACTCCAGCACCAGCGGTCCAGCCGCCTAGAGGTAGAGAGCAGACTGGTAGAGGTCGTTCCAGGGGTAGTGGCCAGACAGGGAGAGGTCAGCCAGCTACTACTCAGTCAGTTGGGGGCCAGACAGCCGGTGCTCCAGCTAGATTCTACGCTCTTCCAGCCAGGCCAGATGCATTGGCCTCAGATGCCGTCATCACAGGTATTATTTCCGTCAGCGGTAGAGATGCATCGGTGTTATTTGATCCAGTGTCTACTTATTCGTATGTATCATCTCTGTTTGCTCGTTTCCTGGCTATTTCTCCTGAGCCTTTGGGTGTTCCTGTTCATGTGTCCACTCCTGTAGGCGATTCTGTGGTTGTGAACCGGGTCTACCGGTCTTGTGTGGTTACTTTCTATGGTCTTGAGACTAGAGCAGATCTCCTGTTGCTCGAAATGATCGATTTTGAGGTTATTTTGGGCATGGATTGGTTATCTCCACATCACGTCGTTCTAGATTGTCATGCCAAGATGGTTCTCTAGCGATGTCAGGGTTGCCGAGATTTGAGTGGAAGGGTTCCACAGTTGATACGCCTAGCAGGGTCATTTCCTTCTTGAAGGCTCAACGCATGGTTGAGAAGGGGTGTTTGGCCTACTTAGCTTATGTTCGAGACACCACCGCAGAGTCTCCGACGATTGGTTCAGTGCCAGTAGTCCGAGAGTTTCGCTGATGTTTTTCCTTCTGATCTTCCCGGCATGCCTCCGGATCGTGATATTGATTTCTGTATTGATTTGGCTCCAGGCACTCAGCCTATATCTATCCCGCCATACCGTATGGCTCCTAAGGAGCTGAAGGAGCAGTTGGAGGAGTTGTTAGCTAAAGGGTTTGTTAGGCCCAGTGTATCGCCTTGGGGTGCACCAGTGCTATTTGTAAAGAAGAAGGATGGGACTATGCGGATGTGCATTGATTACCGCCAGTTGAACAAAGTCACCATCAAGAACAAGTATCCATTGCCACGTATTGATGATTTGTTTGACCAGCTACAGGGTGCTAGGGAGTTCTCTAAAATTGACCTGAGGTCATGGTATCATCAGCTGAAGATTCGGGATTCAGATGTCCCGAAGACCGCATTCAGGACTAGATATTTGGCTTGACTAATGCTCCAGCGGCATTTATGGACTTGATGAACAGGGTGTTTAGGCCCTATATTAGTTCCTTTGTTATCGTCTTCATTGACGACATCTTGATATACTCGCATAGCCTGGGGGAGCACGAGGAGCATTTGAGAGTGGTGCTTCAGACCTTGCGTGAGCAGAAGCTTTATGCTAAGTTCTCCAAGTGCGAGTTTTGGCTAGAGTCAGTAGCATTCTTGGGGCATGTAGTGTCAGGAGAGGGTATTAAAGTGGACCCCAAGAAGATTGAGGCAGTTCAGAGTTGGCCACGTCCTACTTCAGTGACCGAGATCAGGAGTTTCTTGGGGTTAGCAGGTTATTACCGGCGATTTGTACAGGGTTTCTCATCTATTGCATCACCTCTGACCAGATTGACCCAAAAGGGTGCTCCATTTTGTTGGTCCGACGATTATAAGGACAGCTTCCAGAAGCTTAAGACAGCCTTGACCACGGCAGCAGTTCTTGTATTGCCTTCCGATTCGGGGATGTATACAGTGTATTGCGACGCTTCTCGCGTTGGCTTGGGATGTGTATTGATGCAGGAGGGGCGAGTTATTGCATATGCTTCACATCAGCTGAAGGTTCATGAGAAATTTTACCCTGTGCACGATCTAGAGTTGGCGGCGATTGTTCATGCTCTTAAGATATGGAGGCATTATTTATACGGAGCGTCATGTGAGGTCTATACAGACCATCGCAGCTTGCAGCATTTGTTCAAGCAGAGGGATCTTAATTTGAGGCAGCGCAGGTGGCTTGAGCTACTAAAGGATTATGACATTACCATTCTTTATCATCCAGGCAAGGCAAATGTGGTTGCGGATGCCTTGAGTAGGAAGGCGGAGAGTATGGGTAGCTTGGCATTCATTCCTGCTGAGATGAGACCATTAGCTTTGGACGTTCAGTCTTTAGCTAACAGACTTGTGAGATTGGATATTTCAGAGCCCAGCCGGGTCCTAGCATGTGTGGTTGCTCAGTCTTCGTTGTTGGGGGAGATTAAGGCCCGACAGCTCGATGATCCACATTTGGCAGTTCTCAGAGAGATGGTACTTCAGGGAGGTGCCAAGGAGATTTCTATTGACGAGGATGGTGTGTTACGGCTTCAGGGCCGTGTATGTGTTCCTAATGTTGATGGCTTGAGAGAGAGGATTCTAGAGGAGGCCCATAGTTCGAGGTACTCCATTCATCCAGGTGTCACGAAGATGTATCGTGACTTGAGGAAGCATTACTGGTGGCGGAGGATGAAGAAGGACATTGCGGAGTATGCAGCTAAATGTTTGAATTGCCAGCAGGTCAAACATGAGCACCAGAGGCCAGGTGGCCTACTTCAGCGGATGCCCATTCTGGAATGGAAGTGGGAGCGCATCACTATGGATTTCGTGGTTGGGTTGCCGCGGACTCAGCGGAAGGTTGATTCAGTGTGGATTATTGTGGATAGATTGACCAAGTCCGCCCACTTCATTCCAGTGGCGACTACTTATACGGCAGAGAGGTATGCTCAGATTTACATTCGGGAGATAGTGAGATTGCACGGTGTGCCGGTCTCCATCATATCAGACAGAGGCCTTCAGTTCACTTCCCATTTCTGGAGAGCTGTTCAGAGTGAGTTGGGGACCCGCGTGGAGCTTAGCACGGCATTCCATCCTCAGACCGACGGGCAGTCGGAGCGGACAGTTCAGATTTTAGAGGATATGCTTAGAGCATGCGTGATTGACTTTGGAGGGCAGTGGGATCAGTTCTTACCCTTGGCGGAGTTCGCATATAATAACAGCTATCAGTCCAGCATAGAGATGGCCCTGTATGAGGCATTATATGGTCGGCATTGTCGTTCTCCGATCGGGTGGTTTGAGCCTGGTGAGGCTAAGTTGCTTGGTACAGATTTGGTTCAGATGCCTTGGATAAGGTAAAGTTGATTCAGGAGAGGCTCCGCACAGCTCAGTCCAGGCAGAAGAGTTACGCGGATCAGAAGGCGCGCGATGTATCATTTATGATTGGCGAGAAGGTTCTCTTGAAGGTTTCGCCCATGAAGGGCATTATAAGGTTCGGAAAGAAGGGCAAGTTGAGCCCAAGGTTTATTGGCCCCTTCGAGGTGTTGAGGCGAGTTGGAAAGGTTGCCTATGAACTTGCCTTTCCTCCCAGTTTAACAGGAGTTCACCCAGTCTTCCATGTATCGATGCTCCGGAAGTATCATGCCGACTATTCACATGTGTTGGATTTCAGTACCATTCAGTTAGATGAGAGCTTGGGCTACGAGGAGGAGCCAGTTGCCATTGTCGATAGACAGGATTGCCAGTTGAGGTCCAAGAGGATTTCTGCGGTAAGAGTCCAGTGGAGGGGCCAACCGGTCGAGGAGGCGACCTGGGAGTCCGAGGTGGACATGCGGAGCCGATATCCCCACTTGTTCAGCAGTCCAGGTACTTTTCTATGTCCGTTCGAGGACGAACGTTTGTTTAAGAGGTGGAGAATGTAACGACCCGACTGGTCGTTTTGCATTTTCGAACTCGTTCCCTTAAATAATACTTTCCGCACTTGCTTTAGCTAATTTATGACTTGCGGGGACGGGTGGTTCGGAAGTTAGAAGAGTTTTGAGCAAGAATAAGCCTAGTTGCTTCTTTAGGTTTCTTTAAAAAGGCCAAGTTTGACTTCGGTCAACATTTTGGGGAAACGGACCCGGAATCGTGATTTGACAATTTTTGAGGGTCCGTGGGGAAATATGGGACCTGGGCGTATGCCCGGAATCGAATTCCGAGGTCCCTAGCCCGAGTAATGAATTTTTATATGAAATTGTTAAGTTTAAGTTTCTAAGATTTAAATAAACCAAGAAATTATTGTTTTCCTAGGTATCGGGTTCGAATTTCGATTCCGAAACTTGGTACAAGTCCGAAATATCAGTTAAGACTTAACTGTAAAATTTGGTGTCAATCTGAGTGGTTTAAGGGCGTTTTGACCCGTTAGGAGGAAATTTAGAACTTGAAGGTTCAATGATTTGAATCATTTGGTTTTGCGGTTGATTCCCTGATTTAGCGTTGTTTTAAGCGTTTCGAGGACTCGAGTAGGTCTGCCTCGTGATTTCAGACTTGTGGTATGTTCGGGCGGGGCTCGGGAGCCCCGAGCGTCAAATGGTCGAGGTTCGAGTGAAGTTGAAAACTCAGGAAAAACCTTATCTGTTGCTTCTGTCATAACCGCTTCTGCGGCTCTTGGACCGCAGAAGCGAGACCGCAGAAGCGGTCGTTTTATTGCAGAACCGGAAGGGCCCAGGCCCAGGGGAAACCGCAGGAGCGGATCCCTGACCGCAGTAGCGGTCCATCCGCCCAGGCCCAGAACCGCAGAAGCGGTGGGCTTTCAGCTTAAGCGGCCTCGCAGAAGCGAGGTTATGACCGCAGAAGCAGCCCAGGCCCCCTTGCCCATTTCCGCAAAAGCGGCTCATGTCCGCAGAAGCGGAACCCGCAAAAGCGGGATTCCTTCCGCAGAAGCGGAAATCACTAGGGGCAGAAGGGTTCATTAATACGAACCCAAACTCATTTCTTCCACATTACTCTCAACACTTAGGCGATTTTGGTGA